ATCTATCTATCTATCTATCTATCTATCTATCTATCTATCTATCTATCTATCATCTATCATCTATTTATCTATTTATCTATCTATCATCTATTTATCTATCATCTATCTATCTGTCTGTCTGTCTATCTATCATCTACCTACCTACCTACCTACCTACCTACTCACTCATCCATCCGTCCATCCGTCACATTTTGGAACCACCCATCTTCCCACAGAGGGACTCCTTGTGACTCCCTGTATTTTCTTACCACATTACCACATTTAGTGGTTAAAAGTCCATATTGTTGAGTAGCGTGATTTTTACAACTAATATAAGCAAACAAATTACTCAAGTTAGTACTCAGATCATTACCAACAAATGTCTTGTAGCTCCTTGATTTTAAGAAATATATCTGAATATGAAAACTATACCCAGAGAAATAGGTAAAAAGCAGCAAATAAAATAGTTAGCTATAGAATGGCAAAGCTTTTACAGACATATAGATGCACTTCATTCAGAACATAGCCTAAATTTTAAAAGCATTGGACTTTGATCACTCCGTTTCTATCAATCTTTGTCATGGAATACGATTACAATTTAGAAAACTATTTGGGAAAGGGTCTGGCTATTCTTATACAAAACAACCTCTGACCCATTGGATCATTCTTTCAGATATGCAGGTAGTTCTTGACTTATATACAGATAGTTCATTTAGTGACCGCTTGAAGTTATAACGGCCCTGGAAAAAGTGACTTATGACCATTTTTCACACGTAACCACCATTGCGGCATCCCCATGGCCATTTGATGAACATTCAGATGCTTGGCAACTGACTCATATTTGTGATACATGCAATGTCCCAGGGTCATGTGAACACCTTTTGCGACTTTCTGACAAACAAAGTCAACAGGGAAGACTTCCCATTGACTTTCTTCCTGTAAGCTTCCCAGGAAGGAAGTTGCAAGTCCAGACCTGCCACTGTGCGCAGCCAATGATCACATGATCCCCATTGAGTTTTTCCCTTCAAGCTTCTCAAGCTTCCCCATTAATTTGTGCGAAGGTGTTAGACAACATTGTAAATGAGGGTCATGTGATCCCAGCAGCATGGCGGCAGCAAGGAAATGGCAAGAACTTTTCAAAATTTTATTCCCACGGGAGTCACAGGTGCCAACATTAGCTTATTTGAGGTGCCTTGTTTGAAAATGTTTTGCCCTGTGTTGCACCATTTTGCTCAGTAAAGGTTACAGACACAAGAGTTTGAGCAGTATATAGATGACAGACTGGTACTAAGCACTGTTCTATACTTCAACTGAAGACTCAGTGAACTAATTTGAACTTTGGACAATGCAACTTGAGTTCCCCACCATTTTTTTCCAGATAGAAATTATTGGGAATTACCTAGTGCAAAATATGTTGGATGCTGGTTTGGGGGGAAAGCAAATTTTTTTTAAAAATCCAATCAAAGGAATTGTTATAGTGAAATATGGGAGAAAAGAGTTGTGAATTATAAACACCCCATAACTGTTGTCCTGTCAAAGTATAGAGCTAAATCCTAATTTTTGCAGGCATGTTTTTGTACATTTAGTCCCTATATAGTTGTTGGTTGTAAACTGCCCAGAGATCACTATGGCCAATAAATTTTATAAATAAATAAATAACTTAAGCAAATATGCCTTCTGGATTCTAGTCTTCCGGATTACATTTTAAGTTAAAGGGAAAGTCACATGTGAGTCATGGGAAATATAATTTGTGGCCATCATTAATGGTAGAGGGGTTACAGATAGATGTAATCCATGGATTTCAATGCAAAATGTGCATCTCTTGATAAAATTAGCATTTTAGCTTGTAGAAAACAAATGGCGTAGTAGAATGTGTTTTAGTAAAACATTGCCTTTTAAAACAAACAGTAATTCACAGCATCTCTTAAACTTAAATAACATGTTGTGTCCTCATAGTTACAACAGGCAATCCAAGAACATCCAGTTGTCCTGTTGCCCAGCCATCGAAGCTACATGGATTTTCTCTTACTGTCCTATGTGTTATATAACTATGACTTGACTTTGCCAGTCATTGCAGCAGGAATAGGTAAACATTTTAATTTTCTTAGCATTTGCTTTTAGTTCCCAGAATTTTATGTTAGTTGAAGGTGGCTTGATCTGTTATAAAACTGGATTGAAATATTTCTTCTTTATTTATGATCTCTCTGTGTTAAACCTCCTTTGTTGGGGCAAAAAAACCCCCAACAACATTCAAAAAGGATGAATTCACAGCCATCCCCCCTGTTTTCCCTGTAACTTGTTTTAAGGTAATTCAAATTTATGACTGCAAGTAATCCATATTCAGAAATTACTGTGAACTTCAACTTCTAATATATGTAAACTTGTAAACTTTAATAAACATGAGCTGCAAATGATCACATAATGCCACAAATAGATATAGAAACTGGAGCTCTTCAATAACTTTTTCAGTACTTTGTAAAGGTATATAAATTGAATATGTTAAAAAATTTTGCATGTTCTGTATACATACATTTTAGCTTTTTAATGAAAATCTGAATTGAAATTAACTTTGATTTAGAAACATTTAATGGCAGTTCAGACTTTATTTTAATATAATCAATTGAAGAAGCAGAAGCTATTAACTAAGCAGGGTTTAACTAATAGCCAGCTTCTCAAGGCAGAGATGTTAGTTAGGTCAACAACCATCACCCATGTTCAAAGTCAAAACACATAGTCCAAAAGTCAGTTGAACAGTCAGATAAGTAAGAAAAAAAAAGGGCGGGGGACTATAATGGCTATAAAAGGGGGATTTTTGTTAGCCAGGCTGTGTCTTATATATGTGTCTAATTAAGCCATGCAAAGTTTCTAGGAAACTGTACTAAGATCTAGTGAATCTAACAGACTTTCCTTGTTGGCCACATTCTATTAATGTAATTTTACAATAATGCTAGAGCTTCTGGACTTATTGGACTATCTTGCAAGACTGACCACGACTGACTTCTTTCATCTATCTTCTGTCCTTTTGCTAGATTTCCTTGGAATGAAAATAGTTGGTGAGTTGCTTCGAAAATCAGGTGCCTTTTTTATGCGACGTACATTTGGTGGAAACAAGCTTTATTGGGCAGTGTTTGCTGAATATGTCAAGTGTATTTTAAAGGTGAATAACTTTAAAATAGCCAGTAATATTGTGTTGGTTTTTGCTCATGGTAGATAGTTCATCGGCAATATGTAAATATATATCTGTCTTGAGGAACAAGAGATTCCTTTTAAGTTTAGATGTTGAAAATCATAGTTACATGTTTTCCTCTTAATTAAATTTTATAGTTATTTGCTGCTTCTTTCCCCCCCACAATTTTATGGATTGCTCGTCTGAAAAATGTATATATCTCACTTGCTTTGCTAATTGTTGACTTTTCTCTCTCTTTCTTTCTCTTTTCCCCTCTCTCAAGAATGGACATGCCCCTGTTGAGTTTTACCTTGAAGGTACTAGAAGCCGCACTGCAAAGACATTGTCTCCAAAGTTTGGTATGTAGGTCAAAAAGCTATAGCTGCTGCAGGCACAGATGATTTATTTTTGGTACAATGTGACTATGAATGCTTAAATTGATACTAGAAATCTGATAGGAGCATCTAGTGCAGGAGCATCTAGTCCCGTGGGCCAGATGTCTCATGCGCTGGTCAAGCCCACCTCCATTTAAGCAAAGGAAAAAAGTTGCAATATGTCACATGATGACATCGTGATGGCCCGAGTTTGACACCCCTGAACTAGAGGCTGGAAGATTCCATAAGATTATAGGGCCAGAATGTGTGCATATTCCTTCCATATCGGGGAAGTAAGTTGCAATCTCTCCCTTCTTCAAGAGGCAATTGGCATTACAAGCAATGGACCCTTACAATAATGAATATAGTGATAAGTGACATGCTAAAGAACATTTAATTTTCAAATTTCTGTAACTTCAGACTATAGTAACTCTGACTTATAAATTTTAAGAGAATCCAATCTTATTTCTGAACAGCTACTAGGGACTGATACATGTGCCTGAAATGAAAGATGTACTAAGTTATTTGCATGGGATAAACACATTGTGGCTTGGACATTTAGCCAGACCATTCCAGTGTAGGTGGCTGTCGAGCCAAACTGAAAACCAGTAAATATTGCTTCCTGATTTGAATCAAGCCATATCTGGTAGGGACATCTGGATGAGTAAAGCTAGGCTTGTGCATCTCATCCTCCCCACCTTTCTTCAGCAAGTGCCCACCTCCTCTCAAACTTTCCCCTTCTCTATCATTTGCTGTCATCCCACCACATATAGTGATTATGACGTTATCCATTCAGTTATGTCCAATTCATGATAATTATGTGGACCAGATCTCCCCAGTCGGAAGTCTTCCGATCTTCCACTATTCTGAGGAGTTCTTTGCTCTGGCTGATGTCAGCTTTGATGGTGTCCATTCACCGTGTTCTTTGGTGGCCTGGTTTCCTTTTACCATTAACTCTTCCAAGCATAATTGCTTTTTCCAGGAAATTCTCTTGCATTACTTCAGGGGTAGTCAACCTTTTTATACCTACCACTCACTTTTGTATCTCTGTTAGTAGTAAAATTTTCTAACCNGGGGTAGTCAACCTTTTTATACCTACCACTCACTTTTGTATCTCTGTTAGTAGTAAAATTTTCTAACCGCCCACCGGTTCCACAGTAATGGTGATTTATAAAGTAGGGAAGTAACTTTACTTTATAAAATTTATAAAGCAGAGTTACAGCAAACCCCTACCGCCCACCATGAAAGCTGGAACGCCAACCAGGTTGACTATCACTGCATTACATAGTCAAAATAAGTGAGACACAGTTTTGTGATTTTGCCTTCCAGTTATAGGTCTGGTGTTATGCGCTCCAGTACTTCCTGGTTAGTCACCTTTGCACAGGGGTGAGTTCCGACAGTCACTACTGCCAGTTTGCTTGTGGCTGCACTGCGCGTGCATGCACAGAATCACAAAACAAGATGGCATTGCCTATGGCACCACCCGAAGAACCAGTTTGGGGTGTGGCAGGCCTGGGTCGCTGCCGGTTCCAGCGACCAGGGCCGCCAAACCACTACCACTTTGACCAAACCTGTCCGAACTGGTAGGAACCCACCACTGCATTTGCTGTCCAAGGACCCACTGCATATGGTAACTGCCAATTACCTGCCTCAATCTTCCCAAGTTTCTTTTGCCTTATTTCCTTTTAGTTGGGAACTATATTTACCCCTGCTCCAGATACTCAGGTGATAATAGCCCCTCCCTGGCTCTTCCCACTTCTTCCTTTCCCCTTACCTTGTTTTAACCTCTCGCCTACATCCTGGGTAGCACTTGCTGTTTTGTCTGTTCTGGAACACCTTCTCCAACGTGTATATTCCAGTTCTGTGCCTGGATCAAATATATATATATATATTGGATCTGTGTTTTAAAAAAAAGACTTACGGTATCTGAACGTGGAGTGATAAGAACTTCCTGTTCTATGCATGAAATATGAATATGCAGAATTTTTTGCACAGCCTTAAAATCTAGGGTTGGATTCCTACAGAAAGATTAGGTATTAACTTAGACGTCTTTTAAAAAGGTTTTTTGTGCTTTATTTTTGAAGGTGTTCTTTGTATCTGCAGGTCTTCTCAATATTGTGATGGATCCTTTTCTTAAAAGGGAGGTTTTTGATATATATCTTGTCCCAATCAGTATCAGTTATGAGAAGGTGTTGGAAGAATTTCTTTATGCATATGAACTTTTGGGAGTCCCTAAACCAAAAGAGTCTACATCGGTAAGGAATCAAATTGGTGTATTTGTTCCCCTTGCACGTATCTGCTAGTCATTCCCGACTCTAGGTGGCGGTGCTCATCTCCGTTTCAAAGCCGAAGAGCCAGCGCTATCCAAAGACGTCTCCGTGGTCATGTGGCCAGCATGACTAAACATCGAAGGTCCATGTAACACAGTTACCTTCCCACCAAAGTGCTCCCTATTTTTCTACTTGCATTTTTACATGCTTTTGAACTGCTAGGTCAGCAAAAGCTGGGACAAGTAACAGGAGCTCACTCCATTACGCGGCACTAGGGATTATAATACTAAACTGTAAATGAGCATTATGAAAATAAAATAAGCTGGAGTGAGTTTAGGTGTCACCACACTTTCCCTTTTCTCTGTCCAATGCAGCTGCAAGAGGAAACCAGACATTTAGATTAATCACATTTAGATTAAACCATAGTTTATGATACTGCTTTATTTTAATTTCTTATAATTAGGAGACTGAACAATATACAAAACTGGTTAATCTAAAGTGAAGGCAAAAGATTCCCAATTCCTCACAGTTACACCTAAGAAGAAGAAAAAGAGAAAGCATTGCTTTCTGTTTTAATTCCTATTATGAAATATTATAGTGGTTACTCTCTTTAGGGTTCCCTTCTTCTTTTTGGGCCACTTCAGCTTTACTTCTGTTAAATAATTAAAATAATAGCATTATACCTCATAAACTTTTTGCGAGGATAAAAGCGGTAGGAATCATAATGCTGGACAAATTCAGAAGCAATATAGATAATCCTTGACTTACGACCACAATTGAGCCCAAAACCTCTGTTGCTAAGCAGGGAAGTTGTTAAGTGAGTTGTGCCTCGTGTTATAACCTTTTTTTACCACAATTGTTAAGCGAATCGCTGCAATTAAATGAATCACGTGGTCATTAAGCGAATCTGGCTTCCCCCATTGACTTTACTTGTTCGACCCGGTGAGAAGGTCAAAGGTAATCATATAACCTTGGAATAGTGTAACTCTCATAAATGCATGCCAGTTGCCAAGTGCCCAAATTTTGATCATGTCACCATAGGGATGTTGCAGTGGTCGTAAATGGGAAAAACAGTCATGTCACTTTTTTCCAGTGCCATTGTAACTTTGAATGGTCATTAAATGAAAAGTTGTAAGTCAAGGACTACCTCTACTACAGAAATTCTGAGAAGATAAATAATTCTTTATTATTAATAATATAATAAATGTAGTTATATGTATTATAGATAAATAATTCTTTATTATTAATAATATAATAAATGTAGTTATATGTATTATATTACATATAATTGTGTATGTAGTATACATATTACATATCATTATGTATTACATATAATTATGTATTCGATTACAGACATAATTATATTACAGATTTTCTATCTGTATATCTTGGGATGTGCTTTTTTCAGCAGGCCTAAGGATCCCTTGGAAATGGAGCCTGCAAGGTGACTTTATTATGGATGGATTTTTAAACACTCTTCCATGATTCTTCTCATATGTCTGTTTCTTGCTTTTTTACGGCTATTTTAAGATATGGTTTTTTTCTTCTTTTTCTTTTATTGCATGTTGTCAGGACTCACATTTGTGAAATTGGCTGCTGTGTAAAATCAGCCGCCCTTCAACATTTATTTTCATTTCATTTTTATTCTTCAGGGACTCTTGAAAGCCAGAAAAATTCTGAATGAAGATTTTGGATGCATACATATGTATTTTGGGCAGCCTGTGTCACTCAGAACATTGGAAGCTGGAAGAATGAATAAATATCCATTTAATTTAGTTCCAAGGTATACATTTAATGATTCAGTATTTTTAACAGTTTGCAAGGGGGGAAAAAAGGCTTTGGCACCTGTCTTTCATAGAGCTCTTATATTATCTGCAAAATTAACCACTGAATGTCAATGAAGAGAAACTCTTTTCTCTTCATTTGTTTCTAGTAATTGTTCAGATGTCTGTAACCAGATCTGGTAGCTCTGTTTTGTTGCATTTTGAAATCATTGGATAACTGGAATGTAAGGTGTGTGCTTGTGTGTGTAATAGAAACTTGGAAAAGGCTTTGTTTATTAAGAGATAAGTTGCTTTTGAGCTGAAAGATTCTTTGAAAAAAAAGCAAACCCAAGGACTCTTCTATGCTTCAATTAAAGCTGAAAAGGGATTGCAAGATAGCCATTATTAGTGCTTTGCTCATTGTACGTTTTCTTCTTAGGCACATTCCCCAAAAGCCATCTGAGGAAATACAGAAATTTGTCACTGATGTAGCCTACCAAATAGAGCTCTTGCAAATAGAAAACATGGTTCTGAATCCATGGATGTTGATTTGTACTATCTTGCTCCAGAATTTACCCGCCATAGATTTTGAACTTCTGGTGGAAAAGACACTTTGGTTGAAAAATTTAACTCAGCTATTTGGAGGATTCCTAGACTGGCCTGGTATGCAAGCACACTTGTACATCCTTTCCTTTTCTGAAAGCAGTATAGTTTGTATTATTCTTTGCTTCTATTTTAGGATAGTCAAAAACTAGAATTACTGCTGAAGAATATTTCTTTAGAAAGCTAAAGCTCTTCAGATTTTCTGATTATAATGGAGAATAAGGAACGTTTTGTATTTTAAAAAAAGAATTAGTAGAGTTAAATCCTATCTTTATATGGTTCAGTTTGAGGCAATGTTAATTATGTACCCACCTCTTATTTTCCCCACAACCCCGTTCAGTGGGTTGAGCTGAGAGAAAAGGACTTGCCTAAGGTCACCTAGAGAGTTTCTGTGCCTAAGGAGGAACTAGAATTCATGATCTCCTAGTTTCTGATCTAGTACCTTAACCAATGCACCAAAATTGAGTTGTGTCCTAGTGAAAATCCCAATAGAGATAAGATTTGATTAATTTATCCAACCCTTGTCCTATAGCTGATTTGACTTTCAATTATGTGTAAAATATTATCATTTAAAAGTAGAAGACACATTATAAATCAGTTTTTAAAATGTTTTATAAATCATGTTTTTTAAAAAGTATTCTGCCAAATTTAAGGAAAATCCTTCCCCCCCAATAAGCCCATTTCAGTTTGTCATTACAATAAGGTTCTGAAAGTCAGAATTAATGTTACTTGGGAAGAGGACAAATCTTCCTCAATTCCTGTTTTTCCTGATGCTTAACTGCACTTCTTTTGGGTTTTTTTTTTGTTCTTTTTCACTAGTTTGCCATTAAATATTGTAAATATTTTTGATAGCTGCTGAGGCAGGAAATAGAATGTTGTTGTACTTGCTGGTTGTTTGGACTGGTAAGGGGAAATCATTATTATTTTATGAGCAAGTTCCCAGTTCAGATATCTTTCTCCCATGTACAAAAATGTGGTGGTTCTTTCTAGTTTTGCCTGTATTTGTTAGAGGTTTTCTCCTATGTTTGCTTTTGATTTTCCTCCTTGCACTTTTGTAGATTTCACAAGAGGTGATTTAGCTGCTTCCAAAATGTATTAACTAATATAAAGTCTGGGAAGCTTTTCTTTAAAAAAAAGCCATCTCCTTGCTCATTAATCACTTGAGCTGAAAATGTATTCCCCAGTATGCCAACAACAGCAAAGAATGTTTGTTTTGGATAAATCCTCATTTTTAAAGTTTGGAAACTTGAGGAAAAAACTTAGCCAGAAGTCTTGGCTGCTGTTTTCTCTTTATTTCTTCGTTCTTTGGTAAGTTTAGGACGTTTTTTTTTAAAGGCTAATAACAACAGAGTAGCTCCTTCAAGCTGGGTCTTTTGGACATTTTTTCCACCCACCCCCCCGAACTTCCTGAAAAGGTTCAGAAAGGCCCAGTCCATTCTGAATGCAAGACTGACCATTGTGAAAATACGTTAATTGTGAGACACCTCCTCGCACCAATTTATTTTCAATAGCAATAGCAGTAGACTTATATACCGCTTCATAGGCCTTTCAGGCCTCTCTAAGCGGTTTACAGAGAGTCAGCATATTGCCCCCAACAATCTGGGTCCTCATTTTACCCACCTCGGAAGGATGGAAGGCTGAGTCAACCCTGAGCCGGTGAGATTTGAACCGCTGACCTGCTGATCTAGCAGTAGCCTGCAGTGCTGCATTTAACCACTGCGCCACCTTGGCTCTTCTATTTTCATAGTAAAGCAGAAAGCTAAAAGCATACCTTTGTAGGTACTGATACTCCTTTGCATTTGTTTATTGCTGTTAGATAATCTTTGTGCCAGCAAAGCTGTAAAATCTGCCTTGGCGCTGCATTCCAACATTGCCAGCTTGGTCAATGGGGAAGTGATCCTCAATGACAAAGAAATGGGATTTGTTACTACAGAGGACCCTGTGTTTCGGCGGGCCTTTTCCATCCTCCTGTGTGGGTCCTATAGGAATCAGTTGCTTAATATCTTTGTGCGACCAGCTCTTGTAGCAATTGCATTGGAAATCACACACAGTTCCAGAAAAGGTAATTTCATTTCTCTATTTTAATTACAAAGCTGCCACTAAACCACAGATAAACTCCGTTGCTCAATTGCATAAGTTACTAAGTAAACGAACATTGAATTTTAATACTGTCCTCAGGCCCAAGAGCTCAAAGCATGGAGAGAATGTAGGTGCACCTAGATAAGCATGTTTTGTGAATAACTATAAAGAAGCTTTTCCACATAGAAATTTTCCTTGGGTTAGGTTTTAAGCCTATGAGCTAACCAACACTTTGTGAATAGATTTGAGCTCAGTTACTTTCTGAGCAAATCTTGTCTTTCACTCTAGACCAGTGATGGTGAATCTTTTCACCACCGAGTTCCCAAACCGGAACACATATGCATGTGTGCTCGCCGGAGCACCAAAAACCCAAAAACCAGCTGGCTGATGCGCCATGCCTGCTTTTGGGCCATTTTTCGGGCTGTTTCCAAGCCAAAAATGGCCTTGAAAAAGGGCCTGTATTTTGGCCATTTTGGGGGGCATTTCCGGACTGTTTTCAGGCGCTCCAGTGCACACGAAGACCTGTACGGACTGGAAACCAGAAGAGCAACTGGCAACAGCACGTGTGCCCACATAGAAGGCTCTGCATGCCACTTCTGGCACACGTGCCATAAGTTCGCCATCACGGCTCTAGACTTTCTTTGGTGGTTAAAACCTCTGTAGCAGATGTGAGTTTTGCAGGAAGAGGGGGAAATAAATAAATCTGTTGGGGTATTAATTCCAATAGTAGGAGAATACAGTGAGACACAATCATCTTTTTTTCTGACGGCTTTTTTGTTGTCTTTATTCTGCATGTGAATAAATTGTATCAAATCAATTGTGTCCAGTAAACCATTTTAGCAAGCCTTAGCATCTATTAGGCACACACATTAATTTAGCATAAAAGTTTGAACCTTGTAGCATTGATAGGGTTTTATGGTCCACATGTACTCTTCCCATAATCTGACTAATTGTTGGCTTTGGGCCGAAGTAGGTCTAAGCCTTGTAGATTCAATTGGAATAATTCCTGTGCAGCTGTAGCCATGATTCCAGGCTTGATTCATCAAAGCATAATTCTGCAACAACAGTTTGCTGAAGATAGTAGAAAGCTAGAAATGTTATTTCCATTGTTTGCCATTGGAACAACCTTGTTTCTCTGGAATTCTGAAGCATTGGCCTTGGAGTGCATTTCCAAATTAGGTCCACAATGTGCCCATTTTCATTTATCAAGCAATGGTTCCACTGTGTATTTTTGTTTATGTGTACATTAAATTGTATCTTTTACCTTTATCTTTTAATAGCAAAATTATTGGAAGAAATGTCTTACTCATAAAAAAAATTATGTTTTCCAGAGGAGGTCTATAACCAGTTTTCATTCTGGCGTGATGTTTTTTCTGAAGAATTTATCTTCTTTCCTGGAATATCCCTGAAGGTAAACTGTTAAGTCTTGAGTTCTTAATATTTGAAGGAATTTGTCATGACTTATTTCAGACAGTTAAGAGGATAGACTAGGGATAGTTTCCTACACG